CTGAGTGGGGCTGATGAAAGGAGATTGTGATACAATACTGAATAATTGTTATCAGGACTGATTGTGAGGGTTGGAAATGTAAAGGTAGACATTTTGTAGCAAAAGGAGGGATGACAGACTTTGCAGTCTAGGAGCGGAGGTCCTGGGACCATCAAGGCAGAAGAGTGGAGAGCAGTGACACCAGAGATGGAGGCAGAGACGATGACGTGGTGAGATGGAGCAGCTGGGGACTTTAGATCCAGAGAGGGAAAGGGGCTGTGTGCTGATGACTGAGGGGCAGGCTTGCAGGGTATACCCTTTGGTTGGTTGATGATGCATGGAAGAGACTGTAACCATGGCAATGATACCATATACAATAGGATGAATATAAAACTAATGTCCTCCCATGTAAACTATCTCATAATTCACAATAAAACACTGAAAAATCAAAAACAAACAAAAAGCCCTCTAAGATTAGAGATGTGAGTCCTGGTATGACGCTGTAGGATAAGCACTGGACTGCATGGTTGCTTTGAATCACAAGCTCACCAGCCACTTCTCATAAATCCTATACAGGGTCGCTATGAGTCTGAACTAACTCAAGACACTGAGCAACAAGATTAGAGGAAGTTTGTAGAAAAACACATTCCAATTGGAGTCAAATACAACATAGTCATGATATGCTTCTGCTCTCATCTACCTTCCTGGTCGCCTGAATGAACAGGATGCCCCTGTTCTAGATCTAACAGATCTATCCACCAGGGTTTTACCACAGCAGGTCGGAATTACAAATGGGGATTCCCCAGGACAGCAGCCCAGCCCACGCCATTGCTGTACTAACCACAGAACCCGGCCCAGTGGGAGGCACACAAAGAGGTAACACCGATAATGGTTCTACCCAGACTAGGACTGGACTGGGCCCATCAGTCACTTGGAGAGTGATCCCACCAATCTACCTACTAAGCCTGAATCTCAACAGGCGCCTGGTTGATTGTCATGTACACCCAGGTTTGGAAACCAGTGACCTAGTTATCTGGACTGCTAACCACAAGGCTGGCAATTCAGACCCACCTGCCACACCATGGGAGAAAGATGAGGCTTTCTGCTCCCATGATGACTTACAGCCCAGAGACCCTACCCAGGGTAATTTTAAGAGTATTTCGCTGGGAAATGATTAGGTCTCCACTTTACAGTGCTGATTGGGGTCCTTCTGATTTCTTTTTGTTTTGAATCGACTTGACGGCATTTAACAACAACATCTTAAAATCCTCTTTAAAAGGCATCCATTTTTTTTCAGCAAATAGTGTGAAGATTGCATGGAAATGGGTAAATCCCAGGACCTCAATGGCTGGCATTGTCGCTTGCAAAAATATCTTGGACTTGATAAAGGTTATTTTGAGAAATACAGTGTTATACTTTTTAAAGTTGATTTAAAAAATGTTTTTAAAGTACCTTCAGCCAGGCATTCTACTTCTAGACTGTGACCCCAGGAGGTACACCTGTGTAACACACAGAGCTATTCATAACAATGAAGAGAGAACACTGTGAATACTGCAACAAATGAACAAGACAGGTAGACACGGAGACATGGAAATGTTGCAAGGTGTAGCAAATTGCAGTATGAAAACATAGCATGATACCGTTTCTTAAGTGATATATCCCCATTAAGTACATGGTCGTAGAAATGCCTAAGCAGCATCAATGTGGTACCTATCGTTCCAGACTGGAAAGGCGAGGAAGACAGTCCCTTTCGCTAACAATGAGAAAATCCGCAGCAGTTAACACATTCACGTATTACCTGCATAAATAAAAATAAAGTGGCAAGTCTTCACTGCTCCTCCCGGGACAGTCTTTGTTACCAGCAGAAAGCTCTTTAATTAAGCACCTTAAGAACACTAGCAAGCCCAGAGAATTAGGATCCTCTTCTGAGGGATGAAGACACTCAGTATATATAATGCTCCTCAACAGGACAATCGTCTAAAATCACACCAGGAAGCTCACATAAGCCAAGGAGCTGGAGAGGGCAAACAGGCCAGTGCAGTTTGTGGCCCTCACTGTAGAGACGCACTGAAGCCCAGTCTTGAGGCTCTTTCACAACTTCTCATCCACATTCCGTACTCACAGACTCTTTGGTCCACGGAGCTCATTTAACACCTTCATTAAAAAACTGTTCCCCGGTGGAAAATTCTGGAAAGGGATAATGGCGATGGGTGCGCAACAGGATGAACACAATGACTGTCACTGAACTGCAGTGTGAAAAACGAAATCAAGAAAGGGAGATCCAAGGTGCAGCTATGGGCCTCTCCATGTCTGAAGAAAAGACTCAAGGCAATGAAGAGGCCGATTGTGGAAACAATCAGTCCAGTGGACTCTAATGAATGAACCAAGTGAGCATCAGTCTCCACAATCGTGAGACGAGAAGAACTCAATGGTGCCTGGCTGCCACCACTAACTGCTCTAAAATCATGACTTACAAGACATCAGAAGGTCCTGGACAGACGAAGAAAATGTGGAACAAAACTCAAAATCATAAAAATAGACCAGGCTTACTAGTCAGAGACCCGGTGGAACCCCGAGACTGTGGTTCGTGGTCACCGTTCAGGTCTAGAACTGAACTCACTCATATCCCACCCAACAATAGACAAGTGTACAGGGAGAACAAAAGTACTCGTGAGGTATGCAACCGTTCGAGATTAAAAGGACAGTCTTTCCCTAAGGATACAATCCAGAAGGGTTGGGAACGGAGAAGGAATGGCAGTGGAGACCCAGGGAGGAAGTAGGATGGTGGTGTAACACTGAGGGGCCTGCAATCATTGAGATGGAATGAAAGGCATGATCTGTAGGATGTGAAACCCATGGTCTGCTCTGTAAACCTTCACTCAGTTCACAATAAGACATTTTTCAAAAGAGAAAAAGGGCAGGGAGGAAGGGGAAGTAAAGAGGGTGTAAATGAAAGCTGAAGTGACAAGGTTTTCAGCTGGGAGATGGGTTTGTTACACTGTTCTACTTTTGTATGTTTGAATTGTTCAATAACAACCACTTAACAATAGTACACGGTAAGTATGTATGTCTGGATAAAGCCATTCTATTTTATTCCAATCTTCTAGTATATACCCATGTAACCATCAAGACATAAAAGATTTCTGTTGTACAAGTGAAGAGAGTAAGGCTCCAGAACTGAATGACACGTCTTGGCTGCCACAGCACACGCTGGGGGCGCACAGACTGGAGCCTACTTCTTCTCCCTGGCTCCGAGGCTTGGGAAGAATGTGTTCTTCTGGTCGGACCACCTCCCAGGAAAGAGCGTGGGGAAAATCAGAAAAATAGCTCTCCTGACTTCCAAGTGCTTATCTGGAGCTTGGAGGACTCACTGGCTCCTTAGAAAACATCCATTACTGTGGGCTATTTTTATACTATGATGAAGGGGTATGTCTTTTGGACAACACAAACAATGAGAATAGAAGCCCCTTGCTTGAATCAATTTTTCCACCCAGGTACTTCAACTTAGGAGCTCTGGTACCGTAGTGGACACGAATCAGCCTGCTAACCTCAGGGTCAGCAGCTCGAAACCACCAGCTGTTCCGTGGGAGAAAGATGAGGCTTTCTGCTCCCGTAAAGATTTACAGCCTCGGAAACCCTGTACAGGGTGGTCGCTATGAATTAGAACCAACTCCACAGCACATAACCACCACCATGACCACCACTTCAACTTAGGCTGAGGTTACCCAGATACCTGGTAGATGAACTCATCGATGATATCCCAGAGCCACTGGTTGGGTAGTTCAAGGGGAGCAGGACCATCAGCATCTGTGCAGAAGAACAAGATTCATTTTACTCAGTTCACAGAAGTCAGATTGAATGCACAGACTTGGCCCAATCAGTAGAGGGCAGGTTTATTTGTAATTTCTCTATAAAAAGATAATGGTAACAGAGCTGGCAGCCAGTACTGGCCTCATCAAAGCCTCCCTCTCCACTCTGCCCACCTCTCAGACTTACTAAGGATGTAGTTGAAGAGATTACAGTAGTTGTAATAGGATTCAAACCTCTGCTCCAAGGAGGGTCCTCCCTGTAAAGAGAAAAGAGCCATCAGAACACAGACATGAATTTAAATGCGTCTCATTCCAGGAGCTCTGGTGGTGCCAAGATTAGTGCCTGGCTGCTAACCAAAAGGAGCTAGCAGTTTGATCCCACCAGCCACTCCATGGGCGAAATGTGGCAGTCTGCTTTTGTAAAGACTTGAGGCCGTTCTCCTGTGTCCTACAGGGCCGCTACGTTGTGGGGAGGTGCCTCCATGTCGGCTCGGACTCATAACAACCCTCGGCACAACAGAACAAACACTGCCAGGGCCTGTTCCATCCTCACAATTGTTACACTTGATCCCACCTCAGAATCAGCTCAACAGGGCTGCTGGTTTGGGGTGTCTTACGCTCTGGAGTCCTGGTGTGAAGCTATAGGATCAGCACTGGACAGCTAACCCTAAGATCAGCAGTTCAAACCCACCAGTTGCTCCTTGGACACTCTACAGGGTCACTATGAGTTGGAACCAGCTGGATGACACTTAACAACCACCACCCACAGCCCACAGACACAGGAGAATCAATGCGTCTTCTTCCTAGTATACCAAGGAGCACTCACATCGGAGGGAGACAAATGTGCTCAGCAGTTCAAACCAGGCACTGGACACCGGAGACCCCAGCAGGTCCTTAAAGATGGGCATCAGGTCCATGAAGCAGAGGTGAGGGGAAGGTGTCTCCGTGGGAAAAGCGGAACTGGAGTGAAAGTACAGTGGTGAAAACCACGGGGCTTGAAGGCTGGGGAGAAAATGGAGCCACACTGGGCCAGGATCACAGGTCCGAGTGCCAAACAAGAATCTAGACCAAGGGCCCGCCAACTCCGGCCCCCTGCGCTGAACATATAATGCCGCAGAGTGGTCTCGATGCCTAGATGAGTGGTTGCCGCAGAGACCACGGGCTCTCCATTCCCAAATACTTCCTATGCCATCTTTTGTAAAAACACTTTGCTGCCCCCTCATCTAATGTTGCCACTGAGAGCACTGTAAGTGCCTGCGCTGGGGAGCAGTACGATGAGCACCGCAGGTGTCAGCGACTAGAAAGAACGCTGCCTCCTTGTCGTGAAGTGCTGTCAAGCGGGCTCCCACTCACAGTGACCCTGTACAGGGTTCCAGGGAGCAGATGGTGAGTTTGAACTGCAGACGTTGAGGTTCAGGGCGTATTCTAAGCACTACACCATTTGCTAATTGTTGGGGTGGGCTCTGACTCTACAAAAATGTGGATAAAACGATTGGCCCCCATCACAATAAAATGAGAATGTGTAAATTGCTAAACAAAGCAAATGCTCATTCAGTGAAAAACCTTTGTCCTGGGAAGAAGCCATGTCACCAAAGGGCAGAGCGGCGGAGGACCCTAAGTATGAAGGGCTCATTGTTAAGCAAGACCACAATGAGTCTCCCCTTGGAAGGCAAGGCCCTGAGGAGGAATCTCATGTGGGGGGCTCTGCAGTTTCCGTCTCTTTGTTTTAATCAGCTTATTTTTAATTTTCTTGATTTTACAATTAAAGTTTTCAGTAGAATCTTAGTAAAAATTATATTAGAAATTTGAAACTTGTTTTTAGGCACTTCACACCATATTCAATCATGCGTAGTCCTAAAGAATGATTTTCACACTAACAACAAGTTTCACCACTAGGAAAAACCAGCTAAAGTTTTTGCCAGTTCAAGTTTAAGATTACATTCAAAATTCTGTGTAGTTTCGGTCAGGGACATTAAGACCTTTAGAAAATTAGCTAAAATGCAATTAAGGGCTAAGGGAATAGTAATAGATCATAAGCAGAAATTTAACTAGATGTTCTGTGTAAAGACACGTCTGACAGACTGAGCAGACGAGAGGCTGTGAAGTTAGCTAGGGCACTACCACACCAGGTTCGGGCAGCAGGTCCCACAACAGCAATACCATACATGCTGACTAGCTTCCTCTGAGAGAAACAAGGGGCCCAACGATCCCACTGAAATGCCACAGAAACATGGCCTCTCACACAACATCTCCAGCTACTGCCACCGATGGAGGCACCTGTGGTCCTCTGAGAGAACGAGCGGTGGCTAACTGAGGAGCTGGGACCTGCCCACAGGGAAATGATCCAAGTAGAGAGAGGCCTTGGTGCCAATGTCCTCCATGTGTGCACACACACAAGCAGTCATGTGCTCAGTACACAGTTAACGTATTACCATCATCAATCAGGAGTAATTCTAGAAACTAGATCCTAACAGTGAGCAAGACAAAGACTTAATCCTTCATGGCATTTACCTTCTAATGGGCAAAGTGAACAAAATTCTGAGACTATAATGTCAGCCTGGGATTTCACTGGAAGCATGAAGGAAGTCCTGGTAGGATTGTAAGCAAGGGCATGACTTGATGAGTCCTATATCCTGGTTACTACGATGAGAACAAGCTTCAAGAGTGGAAGCAGACAGCAGTCTAACGGCCAATGAAGCTTAGATGAGAGATGCTGATAACGTAAACGAGGTTAGCGGTGGTAGTTCGTCTTAAAGAAGTCCACTGAAGACAAAGCGCAGCAGGATTTACTGTGAGGCAGGACGTAAAGTGAGAGAAGCGCAAGAACAAAGTCTAACTTTCAGTCTGTGTGATTAGGTGAATGGCGGGACAATCTACTGAGATAACACTGGAGGAACAGGTTAGAGGAAAAAGAGGAGTTCAGTTTTGAAATGTCTACCAGCTAGCCCACTGGAAATGTTAAGAAGGCAGCTGAAAACACAGGTCTGGATTTCAATGGAAACTGGGGCTAAGACAGTCTCAGTCCCTGGTTTACAGTAAAGGTGGCATTTTAAGAGATTTGGAACACTCTGAAATTTAGAAGGAAGGAAAGACTCCAGCAAGTGCACAAAGTTGGGACAGTGTGACAGGAAGAACAGAGGAGCTACAATAAGACAGCCAGAGGTTTAAGATGTGATACTGAAGACAGGCACTAGACTGGTGAACGTAAGGTTGACGGTTCAAACTCACCAGCTGCTCTCTGACACCCTATACAGGGTTACTATAAGGATGGAACCAACTCAATGGGCCACAATAACAACAAGGTTCAAGGAGTTTTACCTCTTACTTGCTGCATGAATTTGACATGTAAATAACTCTCTCTACACCTCAGTCTGCCAACTCTACACAACCGCGGTGGGACTAGAGACGTGTCTACTCCGTTCCTGGCACACGACAGTGGTGTGCACACTTCACAGGAGGGGAGCTCAGTGGGGATGCACAGAAGAGACGACGAAGGGCCTACCAGCAGAGGACGAGGGCTTGGAGCACCCTCTTAGGGTGGCAGTCCATAATCCAGGATACGGTGAAGAATACCCAGCCAGGAACAAGAACAGGAGGGACGTTGAAATTCAATCAGGAGAAAAAACAGTTTACTCAGTATTCGTTAGTTTATCTGGAACTGACATTCCTGTGTTCTACCAGTCTCTCAGCTCTGAAAAGCTGCGAAAACCTGCCGCCCACTAGTGGAAGCTGAGACAGCAAAAACCAGCAGCGTGTTCCACGGGCAACAGCATAGAGGAAAGCACCGGGAGCAAGAGCAACATACTTACGCTGACTTTGGCGTATATGTGTCTGTAGTATAATTCTTTGTACAAAATCAGGAAGACAGCATCTGAAAGAGATGGCATAGAGCGGCTTTAGTAATCCATAAAACGCTGTCCAGGGCCTTTGGACAGTTTTATCTCTTGGTTGTTGTTGTAGTTATGTGGCCTCGAATCGGTTCTGACCCATAGCGACCCTGTACAGGGTTTCTGAGGCTGTAAATCTTTACGGGAGCAGAAAGCCTCATCTTTCTCTCTCGGAGCAGCTGGTAGTTTCCAACTGTTGAACTTGCAGTTCGCAGCCCAAATCGTATCCACTACACTACCAGATCTCCTTTTTATCCCTTGGTAGGTGGAGGTAAAAAGAGGAGAACATGACTTCAGAGACTAAACACCACTGAAAGTCTTAAATCCAAAGAATAAACGCCATGAGACAACCCTACTCTCTCAACCTCATTCCACCTCAACGCCCTCCCACTTAGGTGAAGACTTTTGTCAACCAGTTGTCAAAACAATCTTGAAAAAAGAATGAAGCTGAAGATGCACACTTCCCAATTTCAAAACTTACCACAAAGCTAGTTATCAGGACAGTACGGTACTGGCACATGGACAAACAGCTATATGGAACAGAATTGAGAACTCTAAAATAATCCTTAACATTTACAGGATTAAAGAAGGAAACAAGAATGCCCAGTCTTTTCAACCAATGGTGCCAGAACAAGTGGATATCCATGTGTTATGGAATGAGGCTGGACCCTCTACTTCATACTCTATGGTCAAAAGACACCACCGAGAAAGTCAAAGAGAACCCAACGAATGGGAGAAAACAGCTACAAATAACATACGTGTAGAGAACTTGTATGTGTAACATATAAACTCTTACAACTCTACAATAAAAAGGCAAATAATCCAATTAAAGATGGCAAAGGATTTGACCAGATGTTTCTCCAAAGGTACACAAATGGCCAATAAGAACAGGAAAAGCCTCTTGAGTCATCAGTTACTGCTGTTAATTCACGGGGAGTCGATTCTGGACTCATGGCCACTCAGTGTGTGCAGCACGGAACTGCTCCACAGCAGTTACCTTTGAGACAGATCACCAGGCCTGAGTTCTGAGGTACGTCTGCTGGGGGGGGGGGGTTCCAACTGCCAACCTTTCAGCTGGCCCTCTATGTCACCCAGGGACAAGCTCAATAGTCCCTAGAGAATGCCAATCACATCCACTGAGATGGCTACAATCACAAAGCTGGACAATAACTGCAATCTGAAGCATCACCGCTGTTAGAATTCTTAGGCTGGGAGAATAAAACCGCAGAAAAGGCAGTTTGCGGTTTTTTGGGGTTTTTTTAACTTTTTATTGTGAATCAAGTAATAATTTACATCGGAGAACACTGGTTTTACACTCATCCTATGGTATTGTTTCATTGCAATGATTACAATCCGGGCATCACCTTTCAACAGTGTTAGCCTCTAATCCCTCTGAGGTTTTTTTTGATGTACACAAAAACATTCAGGAATCTATAATCATTTAAACAACCAAAGGGCACATTCTGCAAGCCTGCCTCCTGGCCGCCAGGACACAGAAAGGCAGTTAATGTTAAGAATCAGAATTTAAGAGGATATCTTACAGCATTTCTTATCAATGCTGCAAAGGTGAGCAGTTCTACACAAAAATACACAACTCCCTTTATTTATTAACAATCTTGAGCTACGCACTGGAGAAATCCATGAATGACGACCATTAGCTGCTATTAAGGGTCTTTTCCATAGCAGACATGCAAATAGAATTACAATTCCCTGAACTGAGAACACAGTGCTGGAGGAATTCACAGGGCGAATTCCTTCCAGTGAGGGGCAAAGCCTGCAAGGAAGTAACGAATCTTGAAGACAGTTTTGGAGAAGGCCTATCCCTGAACACACAGAGAGGTCCAAGAAGACAAAAGTCCATTCCAGAGAGACAGACAAGTGGAAACAGGACAAAGCTCTCAATTTCAGTTCTCACCACATTATGAGGGATATCTCTGGCCCTTTGTTATTGCGTCAAACTTCATTCCCCAATATTTACTAAAAGCCTAGCATGCACCAAGCCATGGAAAATAAATAAGGAAAACAGACACACTTTCGTGAGCTTTCTAATAACCTTCAGTTCATTTCATTTTATAATTTTCTACTCTTTTCTTTATTCTTCACATAAACTTTAGGTCCCAGAAAACTTGGGTCCCCTGTTTATAACCATGGGGCATTCCTTCGTCCACTCATTGATGGCTTTCCAACTCTTCCAGAATGTTCACTCCCAGTCACATGACCCCAGCCACACCTACCGTTGCCAACCTGTGGAGCAATGGCTTCAGCCTCAGGCCAAGGCGTATTCTTGAAGAATCTTTCAGTCAGCTTGGTCCAGCTGAAAACCAAGCCAAAAAATGTTAGAACTCCCAAACAAGAACCTGATACGCACCTTCACATTTTACAGACTCAGAGAGGGGGATATATCAGAGAAATAGGCCCAGGGCCAAAGCTGCAACCCAACTCTATACCTCAGACACCCTTTCTAAATATAACAAAACATTCCTTCTTACGTTAGTTGTTGTTAGGTGCCACTGAGACAGTTCCAACTCCTATCAACCCTACGCACAACAGACGGAAACACTGCCCTACCTTGCACCAACCTCACAACTGTTGTTTGAGCCCATTGTTGCTGTCACTGTGTCCATCCTTCTTGTTGGGGGTCTTTCTATTCTGTACTGACCCTTCACTTTACCAAGCATGAGGTCCTTCTCCAGGGACTGGTCCCTCCTGGAAATACGTCCAAAGTACAGTCATCCAGGCTTATAAGGAGCATTCTTGGCTCTACTTTTCCCAACACAGACTTGTTTGTTCTCCTGGCAGTCCATGGTACTTTACATATTCTTCTCCAATACATAATTGAAATGCATCGATTCTTCTATGATCTTCCTTATTCACTGTCCAACTTTCACATGCATATGAGGCAAATGAAAATACCACAGCTTTGGCCAGGCACACCTTAGTCCTCAGACTAATATCTTTGCTCTTCTACACTTTTTTATAGAAAATGTACCTAATACCACACATTACTTTCCTTTTTTTTAACTTTTTACTGTGAATCGAGTTTACAGAGCAGATCACCAGTTTTACATTCAATAAATCATATTCTCCGATGCATTACAGTGAAAATACCATGGCTTGGGTTAGGTGCACCCTAGTCCCAGGACTGGGATCTTTGCTCTTGAACACATCAAAGAGGGCTTGTGCAGCAGATTTGCCAACTATAACTCTTTGTTTGATATGTTGTCTATTGTTTCCATGAGTCATTGTGTATGCAAGCAAAATGAAATCTTCAACAACTACTTCAATCTTTTCATTTATCTAGTTGTAAGGATTTTTGCTTTCTTTGCATCTAGGTGCAATCCATACTGAAGGTGGCAGTCTTCATTAGTATTTCAGGTTCTCTTTCCTTCTAGCAAACAAGGTTGTATCACCTGCATTATCACAGATTGTTAATAACTCTTCCTTGAATTCTGAGGCCACATTCTTCTTTATATAGTACAGCTTCATGGATTATTTGCTCAGTATACAGATTGAATAAATGTGGTGATAGGCTTACACTCCGATGCACACCTTCCCTAATTTTACACCATTCAGCATACCCTTGTTAGATTCAAATGACTGCCTTTACATACAGGTTCCTCATGAGCACTCTGATCAGGTGTTTTGGAATACCTATTCCTCACAATGCTATCCAGTTTTTTATGATCCACATAGCCGAATGCCTTGGCACAGTCAATAAAACACAAGTAAAATCAGGCATCAGCAATAATATCCCCAATTCCACATCCTTGTCTGAATCCAGCTTGAATATCTGGCAGCTCCCTATCAATGTATTGCTGCAATCGTTTTAAAATTATCTTCACCAAAATTTTAGTTCCATGTGATATTGCTTGATAACTTCTACATTCTGTTTGCACACTTTTCTTTGGAAGAGGCATAAATATGGATCTCTTTCAATCGATTCGCCAGGTAGCTGTCCTCAGAACTTCCTGGCGTAGATGAGTGAATACCTCCAGTGCTGTATCAGTTTGTTGCAACTGTTCAATTTGTATGCAGTCAACTCCTGGAGCTTGGTTTTTTCCACCAACTTTCGTGCCACAGTCAGGCATCAGGAAGCTTTCCTCTCCTGCCAGTACACCATGAACTCCAGCCAGTCAGTGGATTAAATAAAACGTTATTAATGTGAATTTGACCTCGTTCCTGCCTCTTTCAATGTGCTATTGTTAAGTGTCATCACGTCAGTTCCAACTCATAGCGACCCTGTACAGTGTTTCTGAGGAGCAGTTAGTAAATTTGAACCACTGACCATGTGGTTCAAACTGACCTTGTGGTCCAGTGCTTATCCCACAGCACCATACCAGGACTCATCTCTAACGCCCACTACACAACAAAAAACCAAATCCACTTACGCTGAGTTGATTTCACGCACAGCGATTCTACAGGATAGAGTAGAACTGCCTGCGTTTCCTAGGCACAAACAGACGGTCACAGCTTTCTCTCACAGGATTGGAATCGCCAACCTTTGGGTCAGTAGCCATGTACTTAGCCACTGTGCCATCAGGGCACCTTTACACAAACCACAAAACCAAACGCACTGCCATCTACTCAATTCCCACTCACAGGGACCCGGCACAGGGTTTCCAAAGTTGTAAATCTGTCTGGAAGCAGACAGTCTCATCTTTCTCCCACAGAGCAGCTGGTGGGTTTGAACTACCTAGCAACCCAATGCTTAACCCACACCACCACCACGAGGGCTTGTTAACCCTAAAACCAAGCCTGACCCACATAGGGAGGTTGTCTAGCACAGCACTTGAGAAATCTGGCCCTGGGGTCAGACTCTGCAGGTGAGAAGCCAGCTCGTCCCTTAAGCAGCTATGGAATGTTTCTTCACCATGGGAAGCAAAGAAAGCAATCGTATAACACCTCACTGCTTGTGGTTACTGCGAAGAGTTAAAGATAAAACACAGGAAAAGCACTCTGAACACTGCCTGTCCATACTGACAATACTATTACATCACAAGACTCTATGATAATGATAACATTCACTTTTTAGGCCCTGTACAAGTTCCAGAGAAAACAGGTCAATAAAACCCATCCCTAGCTCCAAATCAGACTCCTGCTGTGGCACTGTGGGTTAATGCGCCAGACTGCAAAGCCATTTGTACTGCAAGGTTGGCAGTTCAAGCTCACCAGCTGCTCCTCGGAAACCCTACACACGGTCACTATGGGTTGGAACCGACTGACTCACTGGCACTTAACAACAACAACTCCAAATCACACAGAGAGCCCTTGGGCAATCTCTTCACACACAAAAACTGATAACCCAGCATCCCTCTTCTAGGCCAGGCCCCTCAGAGCGGTCAGTTTCACCGGTAGCCCCACCTGTTCTCATAGATGTCCTGGATCTCATATACCTTCTGGTCGATGACGTCACTGGAAACACGACTGGCCTGGAGCTCATACACCTTCTGGTCAATCAAGTCCGAGACGGTTTTATGGAAATACTGGATGAAGTTTTTAATCACTTCAGGGATCACCTGATAGGTCTGCTGTTCATACTGACGTTCATAAGCCAGGTCCTGCTTTGGATCTCCTAGAGGGTGGACAAAATACGTTACGGAGTGCTTTCAGACTCATCATCTGATATAATAAAAGGCAAGACTGTCCCCCGCCAAGTCACTATAAACTCAACTCTATTTTTTGTTGTTAAGTGCTATCAAGTCCAACTCATAACAACCCTGTGTAGGGTTTTTCCAAGGAGCGGCTGTTGAGTTTGAACTGCCAACCTTGCATTTACAACGACCTTTAGGTCCAGTGCTGATTCTACAGCGCCAGACCAGGACTCCTCTCAAGTGTATAGAAAATAATGAACAATGGTTGACAAGTTGACTTCAATTCATAAAGCCTCCAAGTGTGTCAGAGCAGCACAGGGCTCTGTAACGTTTTCTATGATGGATTTTTCTGAATAGCTCACCAAGCCTTTCTTCCAATGCACCTGCGGGTGAACATGCATTAACAAGTGGTTTACATCACGGAACGGCTCCATCTGTGAGATCAGGTATCAATCTTTCAGATACTCAGATTTAACCCTCCCCAAGTCACTCTCAACCCTACTGCCCTTTCTCTCCAGACACTGATCACTAAAGTCTTTATTTCCTCATGATCTATTTCTCCCACAAAGAAGCTGGTCTGCCTTGTCCCCAGGTGCACCGAGGCACCAGACAGTTATGTATGGGTGTTGCAGGGTGGTGAGAGAGAACAGTAGGCACTTGGTATTTTTTAAACAAGTGACTATTACCTAACTACATTATGTCAATATATGTCAATATACCTTTTTGGGCTCTTTCCTCATCTGTAAAATCAGACATTAACATGTGCATCTCACAGAAGTCTTTTGAGAATTAAAATGAAACACCTAGTGAAGCACTGAGCTACTAGCCACAAGGTCAGTGGTTCAAACCCACCAGCTGCTGCTCAGGAGGAATAGGAGGCTGTCTGCTCCTATCCTACCCTTTCCTACAGACTTGCTAGGAGTCGGAAGCAACTCGATGGCAGTGAGATTTTCCTATAAAGTACCTCAGCAATGCCGGGCAAGCCAAGTCCCCCCAACATTTCAGCGCACCTCAATGCTTCCCACCCTCGCCCCGAAATGCCATTTGGGCGCGATCCAAAAAACTTTCAATTTGCACATCTAGATTTTCTTTCTCCACGAATCATTTCAACAGGGAAACCAATCCAGCCGGGTGGCTGACAGCTGGTAAATGACGCTAAAGCCGCCGTCCGAGGCTTTCAGCGGCAGGGATCCTCCCAAGCTGTTCTGGGCTCTTCGGAAGGGTGACAGTCTCACCTGTGTGCATGTCATAGTCTCCCGGGTAAGCGTAGGGATCATAGGCAGCCTAGAACGACAACGACACAGACAGGAAGAGTCATCAATTCGCGAATGGAATCCGCTCCCCGTCCTGCTCAGGGCCAAGCAGGCTGCTCCGGAATACAGAGAGTACGACACAGTCGCTGCTCTAAAAGAACTCACATCTCCGCGAAAAAACGGAGAATAAGTAGGCGACAGTATGACATTACCGGCGCAATATGGTAGAAAACACTACAGGGACCGTGCACGCCAGACAAAAGGCCGTTCGGTTACAGACCCATGGAACTCTGATAGGCAGGAGAGTATCGCCAGACTCCGGCCAGTCTAGGCAAAGGGATAGACGGACACACTCGAGAAGACCCGTGAGCTGTAACTTCTAAGGGTCGCGCGGGGGCTCCCGGAAAAGTCCAGACGCCGCCTCCTCACGGGGCCCATCATCCAGAGAGACCGTGCCCACGTCAAGGACCCTACCACGCGCTTAAAGCCACGTTACCTCTGATTCATAATCATCAGCGGGGTACGACATGGCTGCGGCACTCGGGAAACAGGCCGAAGAGAGCGGAAAAAAAGCGGCGCGCGCCTGCGTGCTGAGACCGGAAGTTCTGTCTCGCTTGGTACCACGGGAAACCGGAAGCCTTTCTGGGTGAGCCCTCCACCTGAGATCGCCACCTTAGGAAGGGCGAAAATTGCAAAATATCTAAATATTATCTCCTTTTTAAAAATCAATACTTTGCAAGGAAGGTGGTATCACCTTCTCAATTCCATAATTAAGAATATGAACTGTTTTGACATAAATAATGGACAAAGCATGGGAACCCAAAAGGATTGCCACACTAAACATGGCACCTTCTTGTGTCCTTCTCGCGTTATGGGAAAGGTGGATGTAGGCAGCCTGATTGCGGATTTAGGTGTAAACGGGTTGCCTGTGACAAGCAACGTCTTCATACGTTCAAAAGATTAAATTTTCTGAGTGTAAAAGTTGAGCCTTGGTCACATGCAGCGAAAAGGCGCCCCGCAACTTGGACCAGATAAAATTGGGACAGGCAAAAATGAGACCAGCTGTGGTGCGAGGCCCCGGGGCGTGGTCTCGGACCGGTGCCTCGCTTGAGCGCGCAACCTATGGCGATCGGAATCCGGCAGTATCTGGGATTTGAGGCTCAGGAAAGCCTTCGAATTAGAAGTGGGATTTTAAAACAAACCAACGGAAACTGGGTGGTATGTTTATTTCTCTTTTCGGTCAAAGATCTTAGTTTACCAATCCGCCCATCCACAGTAGTCAGGTTGCCAGGGTAATTTGCTGTGTGATTAGTCTTATGTCTCACCCTCTCTGGACCCAGCCTCCCTGTTCTCTAGTCACTGGGTGAGTGTTTATTCTGATACGGACCCTAGAGCATCCCACCCCAACTACCAATGACCTGTTCCGGCTTTGTGTTTCCCGGTTGTACTGTCATCAAGAGATCCAGTCGCTACCAGGGAACTAACATAGCTTAAGCTTTGGGACCCCTCCATTCCTTGAATCTTTCCAGGGCTCAGGGAGAGCCCCTTGCAGTGTGTTCACATGGCCAAATATTTTTGTAAATTCGCAAAACGTTTTTACTGCAATTGGTTGTTAAAATCAATATCTCTTTTCACTCGAATGTCCTCTCTGTCACACTTACCCTTGTGAATCCAGCTAGTGGAAATCCAGTGAAAAGCATCTGAATTTACGTCTCTGGTTTTGCCTGTGTGTATTATCATTGCTGGCCTTCTGCTTGTAGGAATACGCCTGCCATCCACTTTGGCCAATGAATGCTCTCAATTAAAGGAATGTTTAATATCAGAGTTTAAGAAAGCTTGAAGATACCTGAAATCATAAAGCACAATAATTTGATATAGCTCTCCAAATTGGATAAAAATTCTCAAAATGTTTCTAATAAGAAGTTGTGAAATGAGAAAAAGGTTTTTTAAGTGATCAATAAAAAATAATTTTGATCTAACAAGGAAAAACTGAAGTCTCTTTCCATTCTTGTTATGGAAAATGATATAAAGTTGCTTATCTAAAAAGGCGAAGATTTTTCAGTCAACAATCATGAAGGTGTCCTGAATATTAACATGTTACTTTTTGGATTTTGTGATGTTTGTGTTATTTATGAGCATATTAACATTTGTAATTGCTTGATTTCTCACTCACTTTGAGTTGTAATTTCTCATTCTAGACAAATACTCTCTTTCACGCGTAGTCTCATTTGTAATGTTCTAGTCTTTAACCTAAGGAGCTCTGGTAGCGTAGTGGTTACGAATTGGACTGCGAACCTTAAGGACAGCGGATCGAAACTACCAGCCGCTCCGCGGGAGAAAGATGAGGCTTTCTACTCCCGTAAGGATTTACACCCTTGGAAACCCTGTACAGGGTCGCTATGGGTCGGAACCGACTCGACGGCACTTAACAACAACAACAACAGTCTTTAACCTGGTATGACGCTGCAGGATAATGCACTGGACTGCAACGTCAGTTTGAACCTCAAGGTCGGTGGTTCAAACCCACCAGCTGTTCCTCAGAAACCCTACACAGGGTCACTATGGGTCGGAACAGACTCAACAGCACTTAACAACAACATTCTTTATGTAAGTTTCAGGTACCACAAAACTTGCATCCTGTTTATAGCCATCTACCATTCATTCTCCATCCATCCATCCAGTAATTTATTTATGACTTAAAGATGAGGCTTTCGACTCCCATAAAGATTTATAGCCTCAGAAACCCTGTACAGGGTCGCTATGAGTCGGAACCAACTCCACGGCACATAACAACAACAACAACTTCCAGAAAGAAGCTCTGGTAGTGTTGTTGTTAAGTGCCATCAAGTTGATTCCCACCCATAGTGACCCTGTATAGGGTTTCTGAGGAGCAGCTGGTGAGCGTGAACAGCCAACCTTGCAGTTACAACAGCTTTGCAGTCTGGTGCATTAGTCCACAGCGCCACACCAGGACTCCAAATCGGGCTGCTAACCTCACAGTCAGCAGTTCAAAACTACCAGCTATTCCAAGGGAGAAAGATGAGACTTTCTGTTCCCGTAAAGATTTACAGCCTCAGCAACGCTGTACAGGGTCGCTGTGAGTCGGAACCGACTCCATAGCACATAACAACAACAAACTTTTCCAGAGAACTTCAAGCGCTTACTGATTAAGCCTGTACTGTAATCTTCAGTGTGGAGGGCTACCCAAAATACCAACAGATCTGTGTTAGAAGAAGTGCAGCCAGAGTGCTCCTTGGAGGCCAAGACTACATCTCTCATTCTTCGGACATACTGTCAGGAGGGACCAAGCGCTGGAGAAGGATATCATGTTTGGTAAGGTGGAGGGTCAGAGAAAGAGAGGAAGACCCCCAGCAAGATGGATTGACAAAATGGCAGCATCAGTGGGCTCAAGTGTGGCAACAATTAAGAGTTGGCCAGGACTGGGCAGTGTTTCGTCTGTTGTACATAGGGGTCGCTCGCTATGAGTTGATACCGACTTGATGGCACCTAACAATAACAACTTGAAAAGAAAATCCTCAGTGAGGTGATTAGCACAACAGTTGCAACAATGGGGTCAGGTATAGCAAACAAACCACGTGGAAAGGCAGTGTTTCCTTTTGTTGTACACAGAGCTGTTAGGAGTTGGAATGGAATAGATGGTACCTAACAAGAAAATGGATTCCCACTATGACGCAGTAGGATGGGCACCGCATTGCGAACCACAAGGTTGGCAGTTCAAACCCACCAACTACTCCTCAGAAACCCAATTCGGGGTTGCTATAAGTCCGAACCAACTCGATTGCATTTACCAACAACAAACAATAACACAACAGCTCTTCCAGAATGTACACTTTGATTTAGAGAATCACAATGCAAATTAGAATAGTAAATACTGAGAGAACCTTCCCCACTGGCTATTCTTTCTCTCTTCTCTTGGCCTTTCCTCATCTCTCCAGCCACTAAATAGTAGATGACTACCTCTTCGTGGGCTTGGGTCTTGGTCTCTGTGTCCTATACCTACATTTCCTAGCTCATTAAGTCTCAAACCAAAACCAAATGTCCTGTTGTTCAGTCCCTTCCGACTCACAGTGACTCTGTGGGACAGAGCAGAACTGCTCCATGGTTTCTGAGGCTGTAAGTCCTTACAGAAGCTGACTGCCTCCTCTGGAGCAGCTTATGGGTTTGAACCACTGACCTTTTGGTTAACAGTCCAATGCTTAACACACTGAATCACCAGGGTCCCTTCTCATTCGTTCCATTATGTTTAAGTATCATCCACATGTCTAAAATGAATGCCTGCCGCTTCCTCAGAAAGTTGGAAATAGAAATACCTCATGACCCAGCAATCCTCTACTTGGTATATAATCACAAGAATACAAACCGGGACACGAGTAGGTATACCTGCACCCCCATGTTCATTGCAGCTCTATTCACAACAGTGAAAAGATGGAGACAGCCTAAGTGCCCACCAATGGAAGAATAGATAAACAAACATTAGTACATACACACAATGGAATACTATGCTACCTTGAAGAATAAAGATGAGATGAATCAGCAAAACACATCACAAAATGAATAAGCCTTTAGGACATTATGCTGACATTCATGAAAGGACAAATATTGCATGAGACCATTATTGTTAAAGCTTAAGAAGAGATTTCCATACTTAAAGAAACATTCATTGGTGATTACCAGAGATGGGAGAGAGAGGAGAGTAATTCACAGGTTAGGGGATAGTCACCTCATGGCTCGGGTGATGGACAGGGCAATATACAAGGAAGGGGAGGGAAATATACAGGAAAAGGGAGGGTGGCAGATGAACAATGAAGACAGGGGAAGACTCAGGGAAGTATGCATGGGCTAAATGCGATACAAGTGAATAGTGATTTATACACAACCTTGGAAAAACAGTGTTCTGTGACACAGGGATTGAGACATAATCGGAATGGGTAAAGGATGGAGAAAATGGGTGCTGGACTGTCTTGTGGATATTGGATTCCCAAACCTACTATTGTAAAATAGACATTTAAGTTAAAATAGAAATGAATATTGGGAATTATGATTACAGAAAGTTTGTAAGCCCATCTTCAGCATTTAACTGATTGGATTAGCTGGAAGAGGAATTAGAAATTTCCCAGGGAAATAGGCTTCTTTTAAAGCTTTTGTGGAATATGGGGCCTTAGGTGGAATCCTGAACCCCACCCAGAACCTTCTGAGGTGCAGATGTTCCCACTTGAAAAGCCATACAGATCAACCCAATCTGCTGGGAGAACAGAAGATTCTTATTGAAAGGAAGACCAGCAGAAAAAAAGCAGACTGGCTGTTAGAATACCAAATAAGTTGTTTGCTTTGGAGGCATCAGGGCAAGAAAAGTCAGCCCATCAGGGAAAAACCCTCCTAAGACTGAAACTCAAAGGGAATCTGCAAGCAGTTTAGTATGCTCACTGGTGACCACCCTGGTCTCCTTGTGAGTGGAAGTGGGGGAAATACAGCAATGAAGACATGGGCTGAGTTTGGCCATATCCCATA